AATGTAACTCGAACTACATCCGAGAATAAACGAGTGAGAAAGTCAATATTTATTTTCTGAAAAAGTGCATGATTACAGAATCAATTTTTCAAGTTTTGTCTAAGCGATCGAAATCATTTTGTCTAATCTAAAGATTATCTGATCTAAAAGTAATATCTGTTTTATTAACTTCCCATAAGATGAAGTTATAGCAATTGCAAAAAAAATCGAAAATGATATTTTTACATATTTTTACGTTTCAGGACTTTCTGAACATTTTGGTATATCTTAGTAAAATGGATGTGTGTGTAGTATGTATGTGTGCATGTTTGGATAAAATTTTTCGTCCACAATTTCGGTCGCACGAATCGACCGATTTGAATTATTCAAAAAGCATTCGATTCTTTTTGACTGAGAGTCGTACTGATTAGTATTTGGCGAAGGCAAGTTTAGCCGTTTCGAAGAAGAAACGGAGCAACATGTACAAAAAATGTTACAGTTTCTTTGAGAACGGATTGATCGATTTGAATGATTCAAAGAACATTCGATTCGTATTGATAAAGAAACTTGCTGATTAGTTTTAGTTTTATGATATCTATTAATTGATCAATTTTTGTTGAATCATTATTTGTATTGGGCTCGCCCGTAGGTAAGCGGTTAAGAGCGACGGGACTTGTTTCAGAGGTCCCGGGTTCGAGCAGCCTGTTGTCAGGCAGCAGTAACAACGATTTTCACTTCGAAATATAGATAGCAATATGTTTCCAAGTGAAAATGGCCCTCACCCGGCGTTGTTGCACCAATAAAATGTCAGCCCTATTGGATTAATTCTAATAACAAAATCATCAAGTAAATATGGATGGATTAACTATTGGTTACTATCTAAAAAATACGAAGGATGGAGAAGTTTCAGCCTAACAGCTCATAGGACGTAAGGTTCTGATAGTTGTTCAAAAAAAAAAAAATATTTGTATTCTTCGAGCGTTTAATTACGGTACGTAAAGTATGAGCAATTTGCTAAAACTAATTTTGTAATGATTTTAAAGAAATGAGTAAATGATAAGTAGTTTTGATATTCAGAAATACAGTAGAACTCCAATTATCCGAATTAATGGGACCGGGACCCCATAAAATCGCCGTTGGAGAGAAAAAAAGTTACGTTTGATATTGCACTATTTTTTTATTGAATTAAATGAAAGAAACATGACATTTTCACATGTTTTAAATATCAATAAAATGTACTATGTACAAGTTAGAAATAAAAATCATTGTTTTGTAACATCTCCGTCAAATCAAAACAAACAAGTGCCTACACTGCTTTGCTGGTGGAAGAATAATAGCGCACTTAGACTTTTTTTTGGACAATTTTTTTTTCTGAAAGTGATTCGGATAATCGGCGATTCGGATAGTCGGAGTTCGGGTAATTGGAGTTCTACTGTATGATGTTGCATGCAAGACTCATCAATTATTAAATTTGTCACTTGTCCGCCTAGATTTAACTCTGCTATCGCATGGCAGCTGACAGTTTTAGCATATAGCATATTCGAGTCGCAAAATGATG